CCCCCCCCCTGACCCCTAGCCACCCATCTGCCAACAAAACTTCCACTCTCGTTGAGAAATATTTATAAATCTTAATTCAACGTTTTGTCAATATATTTATTTGAAAAAAAAATACAAGAAATGTATTCCTAATGTTTTGTTTCTTCTTTTCTCTTTATTTAAATATTTTACAATATTTTTTGTGTTAGTTAGGTTATATATATATATATGTATGAAAGTTAATTCGTGTGTGGAACATGTATAATATTCTGTTATAATTTAATTCGTAAAAGTTAACTTGGAAATGAACGAAATTCGATATACGTTGAATGAAATCCACTAAAAGACACTAATATATTTTTTTCATATGCAAATGAGTCTTCGCGATCGAGGAAAAAAAAAGACCTTTTTTTCTTTTTCTTTTTCTACATACTTTTCAACTGATTCACGTCCAACTCGGGCACTCGAGTGTCCTTAAATTATAATTTTACATACAAATTTTATTTTCTATTTTTAATTTATAATTAATATTACACATTCGAAAAAAACAAAAGCACAGAAATTATAAAACACAGTTTGGATGGTTAACTTATCGAATATAATATTATTACTAAATTTTTTTTTGTAATAAATAATTTTCTCTTTCCTGTATATATTTAAAAATTTAGAATTATGAAAAAAAAAAAAAAACAAAATAAAAAAACAAATAGAAAAAAATTATTTAAAAAAACTTCCCCAAATTTTTCTCAAAATTTGCTTCGCATTTTGATAAAATACTTTACCACTTTAACACCCTAAAATTATACTACTTAATATACCAAAGCTCGTTAAAATCAGTGACACACACACACAACCGTGAGGTCTCCTTGTTAGAAGAATTTTTCTTCTTTTTTTTTTGTACAATTAAAAAAAACTTCCAAAACAAAATGAAATATAAGAGAAAGGATCGTAAAGTAATATTTTATAAATACATTTAATAACATACACGCGTCTTGTGTACAATTAAAAAAATATATATACGTTCGTATTCGTTCGTATTTTGATGAATAATAAGAAAGAAAAAAAAACTTTATATATATATATAATACTAGAAAAATATTTTTCTACGTTAGTTGAATTGTTCTTGCACAATCGGTAAATTATTCCTAATGGAAAATCGCTAACACGATTTTATATATATTCGTACGTAGTTTAACTACAGAATCGGATTACTAAAACATATGTAAAATATATACAATTTATATATAAGTATATACACATACATATATACATACATACGTACATTCATGAGATATCAAACCAATGCAAAAGAGGAAGAGTATCGTATGGAGGTGATGAGGATCGTGTGAGAGGGAGGGGGGAGGGGGAATGGGTGGTATAATCGTTTGAAATTCATGCATTCATTAGACATGACTTTCCTGTACTTCGTTAATATATTTTTTACGTTACGCGAATAAAAACCTACATATTCATTTATTTATTTATAAGCTAATTTATTTTGCAAATGGTTTTTTTTATTTGTTTTTTTTTTTTTTTTT